TAATTTTAATTTTCTCCCAAGTTTAACCTTCAGGTCTGACTGATACTTAGCTCTATCTCGTTCTCATTCTCCCCTGTTTCTAATTAAATAATATTTAAAATGCGTTCTTGTACCTCACTCTGCAGTTCAGACAGCTGTTGGCCAGCTGTGTCTCTGTGGTCTCTGGGAGCTGATGGTACAAACTGCTTTGAATCTTCTGCTTCAGACCTTCTTTATACTTTACCTGCAGGAGGCAGGAAGAAACATCACATGGTGCGTTCATCCAATCCTTGGGAAAAATACACTAGTCCCATCAGATATAAACGCCTCACATTTTGCAGTGGAAAAGTCTAAATACAATTGAACAAAGTGAGCACCTGGCCACTCCACATATGAACTCATATGGCATCAGCTCACACTGGAAGAGTTTTGGAGTTGGACTATGGTAGGACACTCCTTTAAAGGAGATTCAATAACATTTAAATGTTAACAAAGTCAACTATTAATTAGACAACTTTAAGTAATCTATTGTAGCCTATTTTAGGCTTTTAGGTGGGCTAATGACGCCCAAACATGTGATGAGATAAATATGTCACATCATAATTTTCTTATCATTCTCTTCCTACAGAGCTTGTGGAAAAAAGACACTCATAGAGGTTCTCATGAAAGGGGAAACAAATAACAAACGAACCACTAAATAAATGACACGTTTGAATACCTCACTCTGCAGGTTTGACACCTCTTTAGCGTGTTGGGTGTCGATGGTCTCAGGTAGCAGAGAGTACAGGTTGATGCTCATCTCCTTCTTGCCGTCCTCTTTATACTTCACCTGAAAAAACGCAACAGAAAATGTCTGTGTTTATCAAGCTGCTGCACGTGTAAAGTAAATTCAGATTTTTTTCTCCTTCCTGTTGTTACCTCGCTGAGAAGCTCGGATACTTCCTTAGCGTGGGCTGTCTCTAAGGTCTCGGGCAGCACATGGAACAGGCTGGAGGAACGACCTTTCTTCAGAGCCGCCTTACTTCAGCTGGACACAAACAGGAGCAGAGACAGTTTATCCCTCCATGAAAAGACAGGAGCGATGAGCGCATGTTTGTTTCGTGTGCAGACCAGATGTGCCGCAGGTAGAGGTGTGTTTCTACCTCACTCTGCAGTTCAGAAGCCTCCTTGGCGTGCAGCGTCTCCAGAGTCTCAGGCAGAGTCGAATACAGAGAGCTGGACACTTCTTTCTTTCCCTTTTTGTACAACATCTAAAATTCATTAAAAAAAATTATTATTTACCCTGAGATTTCAAGGGACAGAACATGGTGATAATTCATTCAACACAACGTGGCTTTCAGATTTGCAGCTGCTGTAAATTCAGACATACAGTATCTCACAAAAGTGAGTACACCCCTCACATGTTAGAAAATATTTTATTATAACTTTCCATGTGACAACACTGAAGAAATGACACTTTGCTATAATGTAAAGTAATGAGTGTGCAGCTTGTAAATTTGCTGTCCCCTCAAAATAACACATCACACAGCCATTAATGTCTAAAGAAAAGTGAGTACACCCAAAGGGAAAATGTCCAAATTGGCCAAATTAGCCTTTTTTCCCTCCCTGGTGTCATGTGACTTGTTAGTGTTACAAGGTCTCAGGTGTGAATGGGGAGCAGGTGTGTTTAATTTGGTGTTATCGCTCTCATACTTCCTCATACTGGTCAGTGGAAGTTCAACATGGCAAATAAGGTAGTGCTGGAAAATAATGGCGGCCACACAGAATATTCACACTTGGGGCCCAATTTGGACATTTTCACTTAGTGGTGTACTCATTTTTGTTGCCAGCGGTTTAGACATTAATGGCTGTGTGATGTGTTATTTTGAGGGGACAGCAATTTTACACTGTTATACAAGCTGAACACTCACTAATTTACATGTGTCATTTCTTCAGTGTTGTCACATGAAAAGATATAATCAAACATTTACAAACATGTGAACTCACTTTTGTGAGATATTGTATTTCTGAACTTGTCACCTGAGTACGGTAAGAAAATTAATTACAGCTTGATTTATAAATTAAAATCTATCAAAAGGGATGCACGTCATTGTAATCCGTAATGTATTGTGTGCAGCATATAAAATTTAGATTTAACAGTTTAAAGTCTCAAACATATCGCTTTTATATAAAGTTTAAAGTTATAACATTTTCATGAAATCAAACCGTTTTTTAACTATTTATGGCCGGCAATTTTTTCAACAACAGGTATTCATATTTATACAGTATATTCATTTTCATTGTTAGTGGCTGGATACAAATTGCCTTCACACGTATGAGGGACTGACAGGAAATGATGCAGCATGTGTCATCAGTGTTACTGATTCAGCTGCACTTTTTACTCCTGATGTTGTAATACATTGAACATGGAATTGAAGGTCAGATTCTGTGCTCATTTTTGTTGTCTTCACTTTCTCTGCCTCGACGGAGAAAGCAGCATCTTCAGTATGAAAAGTGTTTTGAGGTAAGAATGTTAATTTCTCACCTCGCTCTGCAGCTCAGAAACTGTTTTAGCGAACTGAGTCTCAGTGGTCTCAGGCAGCTGACTGTAGACACTCTGTGAAAGGCTCTTTATCCCATTCTCCTTGTACTTAGTCTGTAACAGACAGAAATCACGATTATTGAGATTCTCTGAACTTATTTTTCAGTATCATACAAGTCGAACAGGAATGTTTCTTTAAACTGTTAAATAATAAAAACTGAGTGTTTCTCAGTATCTACATATCAACAATTAACTCCTATAAATAGCAAAGCCATTATTGTGGCTTTTATATTTTCCTTTTCTTCTTTGTGTCTTTTTAATAATTTTCCTTTCGTCGTCTGTGTTTGATGAACACGTCTTTGTGTCCTCGCACATCAACGCTGACGGTGAGCCAAGCCTCATTAGTCTGGACCGTCGCTGTACAGCATTGTTTAAAATGCAAATTAAAGGCTGCAGCGTAGATAACCTCTTTGAACCTTTCTGATGATAATCACACTTGATGATGGCCAATTCATGATGAGCTGATAACACTGCAGCTTTCTGCAGGAGACGCCTTCCTGTTCTGGACCCTGTCGGTGTATCTGAGGATAGTGGTGAGTGTTCAATGTTGCGTCAACCACATCACATTTATATCTAATTTAATGTAGTTTCTTATTATTTCTATTAATTTATAACATTTAGATTATTATAGATGTAATAAAGAAAAACTGAAAGCATGCTGTGAGCTGTTTTGTTGCTGCTTGTCTAATTTTCAGTTTGGTTGTAGCTGAATTTAGTCAGATCAATGACAGTAACTTACTGAATGCATAACATTACTGAAACACAAGAGGCTGCTTATAAGCGAACCGGTCAAGAAGTTAATTAGCAAAACAAATTAGTTCAAGTGTAAATTTGTCTTTTTTTCAAAATATTTTAGTTATAGTTCACTGGGGGAAAAAACTTGTTAAAAGTTACTACTTATATTTTTCGTTCACTTTGTGTAAAAGATTTATTTTCTCATTATTGTTTTACATAAACACACTTAACACTGCATCTAAAGCTATTTAACACATTAACTGAAACACATTTGAGAGGATTATATGCAAGAGCCATCTCCCATACTGCACTGAGCATGACGTGTGATTACAGGATGACTCGTCTTCTCATTAAATTCTGTGATATCGATCCACCTGAGATGTGTTGTTGGTACTTTGGACACTGGATTAGAGGGCTCTGTCAGATATCTATCATGACTGGAATAAAATAAATTTTGTTGTAATAAATGCACCTCGCTCAGCATGTCAGTCATCTCTCTGGCGAAGCTGGTTTCCGAAGTATCAGGCAGAGTGGAGTAGAGGGAGCTGGACATCTCCTTCCTCCCGCTCTCCTTGTACTTAATCTGTGAAAATGTATAAAGAGACACATACAGAGTCTTCAATAAGGCAGCTGTAGTTTAATTTACCCTCCATGTTGACAGTATTTAAGCAGTAAAGAAGTGAGAGTGAAGAGTCATGTCTGTACTGTACCTCACTGAGCAGCTCTGTGGACTCTTTAGCGTGTTGTGTCTCCAGAGTTTCAGGCAGAAGAGAGTACAGGCAGCTATTCACTTCTTTCTTTCCGGCTTCTTTATATTTTGCCTGCAGACGTCACAAAGAACAACGTTTCTTGCTATTTACATGTTACCTCTCAGTCAATTCCTGCTGCAAGTCTCTTGTCTTTATGTATACATTATACAGTCTATAAATGACGTGTCTTTTCTTTGTTTTTTTTCAGGGTTTCTGCAGTAAATTAAAGACTTTTTAATACCACATAGCATGACATTTAATACATGGCACACACTCACAGCGGCCAAACAATTATGTAAAATCAGAAGCGAAGATAAACTCTAGAATTATTTGTTAATTTACCCTTTTTTTCAGTACTTCTCAGCACTGACAATAATTCCTAATGACCTGGTAAATCAAATTTGTGACCTGGATTAGCAGCAGAAAATGAATGGATGTATTAACCAATGAAACATTATTAATCAATTAAAGTTTAAGATAAAATCAGCTCTTCTGAGCTGCTGTAGCTGCAGCAGTGACGGTGTTTGCTACAGGTCTGATGCCACTGACTGATACTACATCTAACATGATGAGAGGAAATTAAATTGAAGACTTTTTAAAACCTTCTCAGACCGAAACTAAATTCAGTGCTCAAGACTTTTGAACAGAGATGTGCTGTTGTTAAATGCATTTCAGAGTAACGTAACATGAAACTCCTGAGATTTAGATAATTGAGTTTTGATTTATATTTAAAACCTTTTTACCCATTAATACTGTAAATGCTTAAATAGATAACAAACAGATGTGAAATATTTCATGTGTGATTAAAGGAAATCTACTTTAATTAACGGTTAAGGACTCTTACATATTAAAGGAGAACTTAATTAAGTGACCTTAAAATACCATGATTTATACTAAGGTCTCTTTGGTATTTTTAGGGAGTAAATTCAGATTAAATTAGTCTTGTTTGCTGGTGTTGATGTGTCAAACTCCACCTCTGGAGAGAGGAAATCTTAAACCTGAATTATGTCACTGTGATTCAATGAGTGTTTCCATAGAATTTAAAAAAACTGCACAAACTGAAGGGTTGGTAACAACATGTAACATGAATATAATAAAGTAATAAAGTTAATAAAATTGGGTTTCACAGGTCTGTCTTTCAATGAAAGCTTTGGATGAGTGAGAAGTGACGCTTCAGATAGTGGAGTAGCTCAAAGGCCGCCTGAGAGCAGCTCTACAGAGCAGCAAATTTAGCACAACCCTTTCATCTTCAACAGATTTTGCAAATGTCTAAATTTTATTTCATGCTGCTTCACTGCTGTTGGGATTTTCTGTTTCTGTTGAGATGTTATTGGCAGGTATATTAAACGTATTTTACACGTACATATTACTGTCTCAATGCTCTGACATAAAGCTAAATAAAGGTTGTTTCTTTCTGCCACGTTGATTCTCTCCAGCACCAGTTAGCTCCAAGAGAAAATATTAATTATTTAAACTAAAAAAATTATTAAAATCCATCATTTTCTGAGTCTGGATAAGAAGAACTCTTCTTCTTTGGTGACATTATCTTCCAACTCGCTGCTGTTCTCCCCCGAGTGCTGCCACCGTCATTACAGAAGAACAGAAATCTACGTTTAAAAGTGTAAAAAGACTCCATGGTTTTCTTGTTTCTGTTATTGGTCTTGTTTCTGACCTTGAACATGTTGTTCAGCCACGTTTTATAGAGAAGAACTGTGGCGTCGTGTACCGTACCTGGCTCTGCAGTTCAGACAGCTGTTTGGCCAGCTGTGTCTCTGTGGTCTCTGGGAGCTGATGGTACAAACTGCTCTGAATCTTCTGCTTCAGACCTTCTTTATACTTCACCTGCAGGAGACAGGAGAGGAGCCATGCACTGGAAATGAATGCTAAAGCAGTTGTTATTTCATTGATTTAAAATACTTAACTTATCGAGTGAAAACGGGCCAGCAGAGATAACGACAGCATTTCTATATTAATATTCAAAACGTAATATATATACCTCACTCTGCAGGTTTGACACCTCTTTAGCGTGTTGGGTGTCGATGGTCTCAGGCAGCAGAGAGTACAGGTTGATGCTCATCTCCTTCTTACCGTCCTCTTTATACTTCACCTGCAGTAATACAAGGCCATAATACATCAGAATAAAATGTAGAATTTATGGTCTCATGTCAATAAAAGTCTCCCCTCTCTCATTTCTGCATGAAGATTGGTAAGGATTGTTTTACCTAATTCACTTCCTGTCTGAGCCAGGGGAGCTGCAATGGCAACACCTTATCTCTCTACCTTATTTGAATTATTATCCCCCCCCTTTTTTTAACAAGGCAGGTCAGTCAATCAATTCTTATTTTCAGTGACGGCCTGGTCGGAGGTTAAAAAGGTCTCGAATAGGGAAAGTATACCAATCCAATGGCCGTCATCACAGGAAGCAGATTTATTTATCTAATAATATTAGTTTAGTTATCCTACCTCACTGAGTAGCTCAGAGACTTCCTTGGCATGCCGTGTCTAAAGTCTCCGGGAGAAGAGAGTACAAACACGAGTTCACGCCCTTCTTTCCCGCTTCCTTGTACCGCATCTGAACATAAAAACACATTTTAATGTACTGTAGCTTTTTAAAACAGCGATTCACAATTGAGCGATAATGATAAAGACTGTCTCACCTCACTCTGCAGGTCAGCAACAGTTTTAGCAAACTGAGTCTCGGCGGTCTGGGAGCTGAGAGTAGAAGCTCTGGGAGAGGCTCCTCCTGCCGCCCTCCTTGTACTTACTCTGAGAGGACAAAACAACCTGTCAGCACTGAACCTCTGCTGTTAGCACAAAGTGAAAACACTGTGTTATTTATGGCAATGCTTTGTTTAAATGAATTTCCATCCATCGCCAACCATTTATCCTGCGTACAGGGTCACGGGGTAAATGAATTTCCTTCCATGGCAAGAGACAACAGATTTTATTATCCAGTTTGAAGCGTGATCTGAATTACACATGATGTTTGTCTGTTTAAAATATAATTTTGAAAGTCAAGAAAGTCGCTGTTTGTTGTAAAACTGTAAATATGTAATTAGAAAGACCACAACAAAACAGGAGTTGTTGGATTAAACTCATCAGGTGAGATACATCTGTGCCTGGAACATAGCCACGTTAGCTAGCTAGAATCAAGCAGGCAATGAACATTAGCTTAGCATTACTGCGTTAACATGTTGGTGACGTATATTGTGCAAGACAAGAGATGTAGTTCATTGATCTTTGTGAAAGTTTGGCCGGACCAAGTGAGTTTCTTTTTCAATCAAATGTGCAGGCATTCCAACCAACCCGAACATGATGTTCATGTGCGTACACGACCAAATCAGAGGTGGAGAAAGCAGATTTAAATTTCAGTTTGGAGGGCTGCAGATGAGATTGGTTGACTGACTGCAATCAATCAATTAAAATCTCAATCAAGTGCTGGTTTACACCTTCTAGATCGCCTTTTTTCACTACAGTCTCATTACAAACTGAATACCTTTATGGCGTTTTCTGTTTGTCAATGAGAATTAGCTATGAAGACTGTCATTATGCAGCCATTTTAAGGCCTGAATTATGAATTGCTTAATCAAAACACAAACATGCAGCGGTTTCTGACTAAATTAGAAGACTCTCCAAGTAAATAGGACGGAATGACCTTTAAACAAAGACCAAAATTGGTTGCAAAGATTTCAAGCTCTTGGTACACAGTGTGCTCTACCTCACTCTGCATCTCAGTCATCTCTCTGGCAAACTGGATGTCTGTGGTGTCGGGGAGCTGAGAGTAAAGCGAGGAGGGAGCTCCTCTAACCAGCAACTTGGGCCGATAATTCACCTGAGAGAGGGAGGATAAGAGTGTAAGAGAGAGAGAGACAGTCAGACAGACAGAGAGAGAGAGAGACAGTCAGACAGACAGACAAACAGAGAGAGAGAGAGAGAAAGACAACAATGTCACTGCTGCCAAGACAGCTTGTTACCTGTTTCAGAGCGATATCATCAGTGTCTTTTCTGTGTGTGTGTGTGTACCTCACTCTGCAGCTGTGACACCTCCAGAGCGTGTTGTATCTCTGGAGTGTCGGCGAGTTGGGAGTAGAGGGAGATGGAGGCTTTTCTCTTCCCTTCTTCTTTGTATTTTTTCTGAAACAGAACAGATCATCTCTTTCAGGTCAGTTCAAGACGTTTTCAACAGAAGCTTGTAAAAGGATAATGAATAAGCATAAGCAACAAGAGTAATGACAGGGAACGATGGCTTGAAATTACTGTTGGTACATAACTTTGCTGTGCAGTACATGTTAGTGGTGCTGGTGTAGCCTTGATTTCTCCTGATAGCTAAACTTTAAATAAAGTTTCTGTGTTTGTTTTGTGTATTTACTTAATTTGCAGTGGGATGCCTCTCAGTCAAACCTGCAGCTTAATTAAACCTGCAACTGCTGCATGAAACAAACCCCGTGTTGAATCCTTAAGTTAACTGATGAAATATGTTGAAACACAGCTGCTGTATGACTCAGAATTAGCATCGTGTTTGAGTACCTCGCTCTGAAACTCGTGGACGGCCTTGGCCAGCTGTGTCTCACTTGTTTCGGGAAGCTGAGAGTACAAACTGCTGCTCATCTCCTTCTTTCCTTCCTCCTTGTACTTGTTCTGAGGAGCAGAGAGAGTTTCACTGTGACGAGTGGTCGTGAGTCTCAGGAAAACAACATGTCAATAAGGTCTGGACTGGTAACAGCTGTTTTTCCTTGTTGTCACATCCAGCCATACATCTGCCCAGCCAAACTTTGGACGCTTGTCATGTTACATCCTTGTATCTATCCACCCCTCCACCATCACAACCCATCCATCCATCCATCCATCCATTTATCCATTCATCCATCCATCCATACATCTATTTATCCATTCATCCATCTTTCCATCCATCCATCTATTTATCCATCCATCCATCTATTTATCCATCCATCCATTTATCAATCTTTCCAGCCATCCATCTATTCATCCGTCCATCCATTCATCCATCTTTCCATCCATCATTCCATCTATTTATCCATCCATCCATTCATCCATCTTTCCATCCATTCATCCATCTATTTATCCATCCATCCATTCATCCATCTTTCCATCCATCATTCCATATATTTATCCATCCATCCATTTATCAATCTTTCCAGCCATCCATCTATTCATCCGTCCATCCATCCATCTTTCCATCCATCCATCCATTCATCCATCTTTCCATCCATCCATCTATTTATCCGTCCATCCATTTATCCATCCATCCATCTTTCCATCCATCCATCCATCTTTCCATCCATCCATTTATCTATCCATCCATTCATCCATTTATCCATCCATCCATCTTTCCATCCATTTATCCATCCATCATTTATCCATCTTTCCATCCATCCATCCATCCATCCATCTTTCCATCCATCCTTCCATCCATCCATCCTTCCATCATCCATCTATTTATCCATCCATCCATCTTTCCATCCATCCATCCATCCATCTTTCCATCCATTCATCCATCCATCCATCTTTCCATCCATCCTTCCATCCATCCATCCTTCCATCCATCCATTTATCCATCTTTCCATTCATGCATCCATCCATCCATCTATTTATCAATTTTTCCATCCATCCTTCCATCCATCCATCTATTTATCCATCCATCCATCTTTCCATCCATCCTTCCATCCATCTTTCCATCCATCCATCCATCTATTTATCAATTTTTCCATCCATCCATCCATCCATCCATCCATCCATCCTTCCATCCATCCATCCATTTATCCATCCATCCATCCATCCATCTATTTATCAATTTTTCCATCCATCATCCATCCATCATTTATCCATCTTTCCATCCATTTATCCATCCATCATTTATCCATCTTTCCATCCATTTATCCATCCATCATTTATCCATCTTTCCATCCATCCATCCATCCATCCATCTTTCCATCCATCCTTTCATCCATCCATCCTTCCATCATCCATCTATTTATCCATCCATCCATCTTTCCATCCATCCATCTTTCCATCCATTCATCCATCCATCCATCTTTCCATCCATCCTTCCATCCATCCATCCTTCCATCCATCCATTTATCCATCTTTCCATCCATGCATCCATCCATCCATCTATTTATCAATTTTTCCATCCATCCTTCCATCCATCCATCTATTTATCCATCCATCCATCTTTCCATCCATCCTTCCATCCATCTTTCCATCCATCCATCCATCTATTTATCAATTTTTCCATCCATCCATCCATCCATCCATCCATCCTTCCATCCATCCATCCATTTATCCATCCATCCATCCTCCATCCATCTATTTATCAATTTTTCCATCCATCCATCCATCCATCCATCCATCCATCCATCCATCCATTTATCCATCCATCCATCCATCCATCCATCCATCCATCCATCCATCCATCCATCCTCCATCCATCTATTTATCAATTGTTCCATCCATCATCCATCATGTCTGACCTCACTCAGTATCTCAGTCAGCTCTTTGACAAACTGGGTCTCTGTGGTTTCTGGCAGCAGAGAATAAAGAGAGGAGGAGCTCTTCACATTTCCTTTGTATTTAATCTGGGAAACAAACAAACAAACAAACCTTTGTTAGAATCAGGTTTTATGATCACAAATACCAACTCCAAAACCAATTTAAAATCATCGGACCCTTATAGGTACAATATTTAGAGGCTAAGTAAATATATTACTTATTCTTGCGTATAAAAACTTGTTTCTTGTTTGTCTACTGCCATCAACACTGTCTGTACTTCACAGGTACACAAGTTGAACCAAATCTTGTAACAACCTCACTTTGCAGCTCTGAAGCCTCTCTGGCGTGTTGCGTCTCAGGAGTCTGTGGCAGGATGGAGTACAGAGACATCGACGCTTCCTTCTTTCCCTCCTCTTTGTACTTTGACTGAAACAGCAAAATTGATCATATTGGTGGATGGATATGAGAGAGAGTGTGCTGTTGTACTTTGTGACTAGTTTTTTTTATATATACAATATTTGGCCCAGTCCTCGCTTCTTAAACCAGCAGTCTGGGTTTACGGTTAGAATCAGGATTAGATTATTCGTCATAAGTGAAGAAAAACAACCATGCATGTTGTGTGTGCAGACCTCAGATATCACAGCGCTGATGTTCTTGGCGTGGATGAGTTCAGCTCCGGGAACAAACAGACTTTGCCCCCTCATCTTCTCAAAGTCTTCCTTATACTTCACCTGCAGGGAGGAGGAGATATTAAAGTGTGTTTGAGTGTGTGTTTGTGTTATATGACTTTATATTTCATGCAACCTGAACTCTTGCTGCACTCCGTGCCCAGGAGGAATCTTGTGTTGGTTGTTTTGCAGAGTTTTAATCTTCAAGCTCACAGAGGAGTCGTCTTGTTGGCTGTGTGCAGCATAAACAAAACTACTGCTATTTCATCTCCAAAGCATTTAAGCATAAAGACATTACGTGGTGTTATCCTGGTAACAATAATTGCATAAGTGGACCCCTTTACACTATCTGTCCTGGTGATGTATCCCTCTAATCATGCCAGGCTGCAGCACACAATATATTTTAATATTCACTGTGTTAAGAGTTGATCTTTGCAGCAACACTCTGAACTAAAGCTATGCCTGGAAAACAAACTGGGAACAAAAAGATATTAATAATTAATATATAAAGTAATACGTTTCTCTCCTTAAAGAGAAGATCTGAAGAAGAGATTTGTTTTTTCATTATTTTTTTATGTTTTTTTACTTAAAGGGGAGAACATGATAACATTACTGTAATATTGAATAATAATGTACTGGTAATATTTATTTTTTTTTGTTTTTGTTTGACATGTTCATAAATTACTCATAATGAATATAACAAGTGTGCCTAATATCAGTTAACTTCAGGTTTGAAATCATGTCAGGTTTGTCAAAAAGATGATTTTAAATGAAGCCATAATCAGCTGCTCCGTGGTAATTTATTACTTAGAAGGATATAAAGAAGAAATCCAAAGTGCAATAAATACTTCCTCAAATCTGTGTAGAGTGCCTTCTCTAGCATTGGAGCTACAGCTGGTCCATATTCACAGTAAAATATGAGGTGTTTCAGGATGATTGTTTATGTAACTTCTGTCACATTTTGTTTGCTAGCTCAACATGTTTTTTTCATTCAGTGCAGAACTTCACAGGAAAACAACCACAGTGCCGATGGACTGAACTTCATTTCAAAAAAGTGCCACAGTTTTGGCGTTTCCCTGAGTCTGACTGGACGTTTGGTCCAACAACAGACGGGCAGATTTTCTGGAAAGACCCAGGAGAAAAATGGAATTAATCCACAGACAAGCTGTTCGCCCAAATCTGTGAGAGGAAACTAGAGTGGGGAACAAAACAAAAGGTGCTTAATGGCACTAAATAAACGGCTTCTAACCGGCAAGCATGTGATAGTCCAGGAAGTGGCCAAGTTCAGCGTCAACACAAATAAACACACAAGTTTTATGATATATTAGAAATGAATATATAAACATTTTCGGAAACGTAACACTCAGTGAGGCTCTGTGTATTTATAAATGTCCTCTTGTATATTATGTAGCGTTTATTATTGTATAATTTCTTCTCTATGTGCTGTTATATACTCTAAGCTACAATAGCAAAATCTCTACACTGGCTGCAGGACTGTGCTTAATGCAGAGCTGCACGAGGAATTTTAGGATTCACACAGGCGAGGGAAACAAAAAATGTTAAGAGTGTGTCTCATCCCACCTGCTGAGATAAAGATTCTGCCTCTACAGCCGAGTGCAAAGTCTTGAGATGTTTGTGTTAAACTTGTGATGAACTGAACTCTCCTACTGCGTGTGATGATTAATAATGACGTTTGAAGGCAGGTTTTCACTGGCAGAGAGATATACAGAGAGACAGCGGAGCGACAGCAGCTGGAGGAATAAATGAAGATGATTTTTTAAAGTGGGTTGACTTGCTTCCACTGTAGCTGATGAGTCATTCTGCAAACAGCCAAGCTGTCAAGTTAGACTCACACCAGGGAATCAATATCTCACCCTCCCACATCTTACAACAGCATTCACCTCATTCACCGTTTTACTGTGAAATACAGGCTTCAAACTGCTGCTGCAGAAGCCAAATGGCGTTTTTTTTTCTTTTTCCCATTTCAGTATACGTGACCTCCTCTGTGTTGAATAAAGGCCAGTCATTCGATCGTTGGAGGGATGGTTACCAATGGCAACCCTGCGTTTAGGTCATTTGTGAGGATGTGGAGGAGGAAGAGGACGACGCCTCGCTTCCTTTACACGTGTGTAAGAGTTCACATCCAGAAGCATTTGTATTCATTGAAAATCAAGCAGGAGATATTACACAGTGAAATATGACTTTGGGTCAACAAAGCACATAGGCTAAAAATAAAAGATAAAAAATAAAAATAAATAAATAAAGATCAGATGCAGTACTGCGTTAAGTGTTTTTACTGTTGGATTATTTACCAAAATGGTTTTGAGACAGTGTTTGACACAACAAGCTCAGGTTTAACCCTAAACTGTCAAAAATGTTTTATTAACAGAAACATACAAGTGAAATGTAAAAAGAGCTACACTGGAACAGTCTGCAGATTTGGGTAAATAACACAGTAGTTACATAAAATATAACACTAACACTGGGTCAGATCAACGTCTTCTCTTGGCTGGTTTTTGGTGATGTTCCCTGGCGTCACAAAGAACTGATGATGAGCATTTTTAATGTCTGTTGCTTAAACAGACTGCTTTTAAGATCAGTTCCTTCACAGTTCACAACTATCTACAACCACAACTACAACTATCCTCTTTGATATAATGCTAAAAGATTCTTTACTATTACTTTTGGCCTTATCTTCTCTGTGTTCTGTTTATTAATTGTTGTTTCGCTCTGTTTACATAGTTATGGTCTCTGTTCTGAGGTTTTGGTTTTGAATCAGCGTTCTACTCCTGTTCCTGTCTGATGTTGAAATGGTCTGTGTCAGATGTCCGCGTGCTTGTTTTGGTGTTTTGGTTTGGTTTGTCTGTCTGCTTGTCTGAATCTGGTTTCTTATGGTTACAGATCATGCCGGGTTTCAGTCTTGTACTTGTTCTTGTTCATTCTTGAGTTCAGTCTGTTGGTTCTGTCAGTCTGCAGTCGCCCCGTTCAGTTCCTGTCAGTCGTGTCTCAGCATCTTGTCCGGTTTCCTGTTTTAGTTTGCAGTTGTCTGTGTCTGTTGTTGGCATCCTGCTTGTTTCCTGTTTTGTCTTAATTAAATTTTGTCAGCGACTTCAGCGCCGACAAAACGTAGCAAAACGGTGGTGCCTTGAATACCCTGCTGTGTACGCAAGCGCTCTGCATTTTCTTGCCTTTTTAACACCTTTGTTTTTACAAACTTGTTGCAGCTGATAACACCTGTGACACGCCCACCAAACGGGAGAAAACTACCTTGAGTGTTGCACAACGTTTCAACGAAACATGTCGTTCAATCCGAAAACGTTGCAAACCATTTTGAGATTGAACACGCCCCTGATATGTCTCCCCTGTTTATTCCCTCCATGCTCGTCAGCCCTATATCTATATATCTATATATCTATATCTATATCTATAGATATACTGTATAGATATACAGTGGGTACGGAAAGTATTCAGACCCCGTTAAATTTTTCACTCTTTGTTTCATTGCAGCCATTTTCCAAAAATCAAAAAAGTTCATTTTATTTCTCAGTAATGTACACTCAGCAACCCATCTTGACAGAAAAAAACAGAAATGTAGAAATTTTTGCAAATTTATTAAAAAAGAAAAACTGAAATATCACATGGTCATAAGTATTCAGACCCTTTGCTCAGTATTTAGTAGAAGCACCCTTTTGATCTAATACAGCCATGAGTTGTTTTGGGAAAGATGCAACAAGTTTTTCACATCTGGATTTGGGTATCCTCTGCCATTCCTCCTTACAGATCCTCTCCAGTTCTGTCAGGTTGGATGGTAAACGTTGGTGGACAGCCATTTTCAGGTCTCTCCAGAGATGCTCAATTGGGTTTAAGTCAGGGCTCTGGCTGGGCCATTCAAGAACAGCCACGGAGTTGTTGTGAAGCCACTCCTTCGTTATTTTAGCGGTGTGCTTAGGGTCATTGTCTTGTTGGAAGGTAAACCTTCGGCCCAGTCTGAGGTCCAGAGCACTCTGGAAAAGGTTTTCGTCCAGGATATCCCTGTACTTGGCCGCATTCATCTTTCCCTCGATTGCAACCAGTCGTCCTGTCCCTGCAGCTGAAAAACACCCCCACAGCATGATGCTGCCACCACCATGCTTCACTATTGAGACTGTATTGGACAGGTGATGAGCAGTGCCTGGTTTTCTCCACACATACCGCTTAGAATTAAGGCCAAAAAGTTCTATCTTGGTCTCATCAGACCAGAGGATCTTATTTATCACCATCTTGGAGTCCTTCAGGTGTTTTTTAGCAAACTCCATGCGGGCTTTCATGTGTCTTGCACTGAGGAGAGGCTTCCGTCGGGCCACTCTGCCATAAAGCCCCGACTGGTGGATTGCTGCAGTGATGGTTGACTTACTACAACTTTCTCCCATCTCCCGACTGCATCTCTGGAGCTCAGCCACAGTGACCTTTGGGTTCTTCTTTACCTCTCTCACCAAGGCTCTTCTCCCCCGATAGCTCAGTTTGGCCGGACGGCCAGCTCTAGGAAGGGTTCTGGTCGTCCCAAACGTCTTCCATTTGAGGATTATGGAGGCCACTGTGCTCTTAGGAACCTTAAGTGCAGCAGAAATTTTTTTGTAACCTTGGCCAGATCTGTGCCTTGCCACAATTCTGTCTCTGAGCTCTTCAGGCAGTTCCTTTGACCTCATGATTCTCATTTGCTCTGACATGCACTGTGAGCTGTAAGGTCTTATATAGACAGGTGTGTGGCTTTCCTAATCAAGTCCAATCAGTATAATCAAACACAGCTGGACTCAAATGAAGGTGTAGAACCATCTCAAGGATGATCAGAAGAAATAGACAGCACCTGAGTTAAATATGAGTGTCACGGCAAAGGGTCTGAATACTTATGACCATGTGATATTTCAGTTTTTCTTTTTTAATAAATTTGCAAAAATTTCTACATTTCTGTTTTTTTCAGTCAAGATGGGGTGCTGAGTGTACATTACTGAGAAATAAAATGAACTTTTTTGATTTTTGGAAAATGGCTGCAATGAAACAAAGAGTGAAAAATTTAAAGGGGTCTGAATACTTTCCGTACCCACTGTATCTATATATATATCTCAACTGCCGTTGTGTTTGGTCACTGCTGGATCACTGTAGCTTGTTGTGCTCTGTCTTGCGTCGTATGTCGAGTGTCCTTTTCCCGTATGTGTTTTCCGCCGTGGACTTAAGTATCTGTCAGTTGTGGATTGTGTTTATCACTGCATGGGCTCACCCTGTTTGGATATATATGTATATGTGTACGCCCTGAGTTCTGTGAGAGTTAATAAATTTCTCCTCAGACTGTACTCTGCTCTCTTGTGTCTTTCGCTTGGGCCCAAAACTGTCTGTCACTCAGCAATTCCTGAAAATATCAGGTCCAGTTGCACTGCCAACTACTCTGTGAGCTCTATGTGACACCGGAGACGATAAATACACACACATCCGACTGTAAGGCTCGGTAAAGTGCACTATTAGTTGCAGTCATTCACTGGAATTTGATTTCCCCGACATGGCTCCACGCAGCACCGCTGATATTACAGAATGACAGTCGCCAAAACAGAAAGCTACCTGTTGGTACTTTATGTTCACAGCGCTGTGTTTGTCCTGTTTGTCCACGGACCGCACCATAACAACCATGTGTTTTTTTCCCTACTTAACCTGGACTAAATGAAACCATGTGAATAAAATAGTAAACTGAACCGACATTGAACGAACTTACATCACTGGCGAGTAAGCTGCATCTCCTGTTAAAGGCTGGGTCTGGTACTGGAGGCTTGACATCAGAGGAGGCCTGAAAACACACAAGTGCACGTAAGAATTTGAGGTCAATAATTACACGGACAATATTTAGACAAAAGTCAGTTGTAAACAATGTCTTAGTAATATTGGTAATTAAAGTACAATATCGGCAAACTGAATTATCCATACTAATAATACTGAGAGAGAGAAACTTGTGAGTCAACCATAGGAAACTCTTCTATGCACCACTAATCCCTCGCCGCTCTTAACAGGCCCGACTGAGTCCTAAAAATCCCACTATCAAAGGCTAATAATGGCACATTTTCATTTGTAGTTCCACTAATCCTCTCTAAGCCCGTATAAAAACCTGCAGTGCCAGGCGATGCCCCACGCCAAGGTCAATACAAAGACTCCCAGTCAGAGCTGAGAGGGGGCTTTCTCTGCAGAGGAACCAAATCTGCCTCTCAGCAGACTTCATCAAAGAAAAGCAAAATCCTTAAAGACGTTTAGCAGTACACAGGACTTAGCTACAGTTCGGGAACACTGTGTGTATTGGCGTATTGAACACGGAAATCATTTAATAGAAAGAACAACCTCCTTAAAAGACCAAGAGGTCTAACTGCAAATTTGAAACTTTCAAAATCAGAAAACCAAAAGTAAATAATAGAAAACTTTATTGGCCTTCTCTGAGACCCTGGTGTTCTGGTTTTAAAGAAGCAGTTCTCACATGAAATGAAGATCACCTATATGATATGAAGTCATATTTGTTTTAAGTAGACTGACAACTTAAATGGGTTAAAGGTAGGATCAAAAAACGATTTGGCTGAAAAGACCTGACGGCTCTTTAACAATAGAAAATGGTGAGGAAAAAAAAAACTTTTTTTAAAGTCACAGGTTCTGATCTGAAATAAGATTAACTAAACCAGCTGAGACAGAGATCTCTGCATTGTTAAAATACGAGGATGGACACGAGTCTAATCTAAAAGATAACAAATTAATTACCTGGTTCCTTCACAAATGGGAGGACTGAATTCCACACTGAACATATTTAAGATTCGCAGGTGTGCACGCTTGAGGATTTGGTCATATTCATTTTCCTTTCTTTGAGTTCTTTCTTGTCAAAGTTCCAAGTTATCTGATCATTTTTAGGCTTTAACTGAGCTGAATATTTGGGTTGTTTATGTTGAGTTTTAAAAGTTGCAGGAAGTTCTCACCTCGGATTCCCAAGTTCCCAACAACTTCTTTGCTCGACCCTCCTCTTCCTCTTTATTCTCGTCTCCTCCCTCCATCTCTGCTTGATTTTCCTCCTTGTCCTCCTCTGTTATTTTCTCAGTGTCAACCTCCTCCTCCTCCCCCACGTCCGTCTGCTTCACCGTGTCAACAACCGTGGTCAGCATCTTCAGCGTTGTTACCACCTCTTCCTCCTCTCCCTCCACTGTCATAACCTCTTTCATCTCTTCAACAAACACCGGAGCAGCTGGGGCCTCTTCATCCATGTGATTCACCTCTGAGGACAGCGGACAGTTAAGTTTTAGGTTCAGCTTATAATGCAATTTTTTTATTTATGTAGCAGAAAGTGAACAGAAAAACGAGCAACACCACAGAAAACGATAACTCCTTCGAGGGTAAGTCCACCCTCGATTTCTGCCACGATGAATCGTTCTTATACGACAGAGGTGGGGAGGAAAATGTCTGTGTGAGGTGTAGCTTTGTGGTTACATATTGTGTGATGACGTAGAGAGGTGTGGGGGTGGGAGCAGCACAGACCGACCATAGCATAGACATTTATTTTGATCTTTCATCGCAACAATCATGAGGTAAACCATAGAAATATACCGTTCGTGTTACAAAGTAATCTACCAGGAATATGCTCTGGCATTTATTCGAATGGCCAATGCAGCACCTTGCGTTGGCCAATGTTGGGGCCAGTCTCAACTTTTTGCAGAACTACCCTGTGTTATTTAGCAGGAGTCTCTGCACTCCCAGGGTCACTGCGTTACCAAAATAAATGAGAGGCCTACGTTTTTTTCATTAAGTTAAAGTCGGCCTTAGTGTCTCTGCCGGAAAGGCTGGAGGCGGATGGTGCTTTGGCAGCCAATGAAGACATTTACAACCCATTAACAAATTATAAAAGGACAACAAAGACAGCAAAGAGACGGTTGCTTTTTGTAAGTCGCTTTGGGCAAAGAGTCTGTCAAATGAATGTGATGCAATGTGACGTTATAGACTCTCTTAAAGAGAGTGTTCTGTTCCAGTACTGGAGAGATTTGCGATGCGTTTTAAAACTTGCATTGAAACTCTTGTTCCACGTTCTCAAAGTTGTGTACGGCCTTATTAGAAAAGTATATCTCCCTTCTCATGTATGACAGCATCTCTTCCATTCGTTACCCCAGAGATGTTGCTACCAAACTGACTCAATTAGCTCAAAAACCGAGGTCTCTTAACCACGGTTCTAGTAAGGTTATAAAAGGAATGAAAGCAACTAAACACTGAAAATACCACTCATTACTAAAACTGCAAACTACAACTCACTGACGACCCAGTATAGACAACCCATATCATGGCTGTCTATACTTTCGTCTGCTAGCGACTTCTTCAAAGTCATGGTCACCATTTCCTGCTCTACGTGTCAAGGTCACCTTTTCAGCTTCATCAAAGTCACCGTGTTAAATTACTTAACGTCGTGGCCTTTCTTTCAGATTCTTGGTCACCCTATCAGTATCACCAGTAATCGCCTCTGGATGTCGAAGCGTCTTCATACTTTTCAGCTTTTACCGACCTTCCCCGAATCTTCTTCTAAGGCACTCACCTTGTCGAATTTATTGTCTCTTAATAAGTTTTCCTTTCGGCTTCCTGGGTGTTTGGGCTAGTCTTTTAGCTTTCCAAACACTGCAGTCAGTTTCTCATTCACTCCTTTTTATATTATTTTGCCTTCTCTTGACGTGAAACTCTTTGTTTTCTCAGGATCTTCTCATGCGTTCCTTTCAGGTTCTTCAAGGCGTTCTCAGCGTTGTGATCCCTCCTTCAGCTTCTGGATGTCTTGGACACTCTTTCAGTTTCTTTGATTTTGTTTTCGCCCTTTCAACTTCTTCGTCAACTTTTAGCGTCTCATTATTATTGCCTCTAACTCAAAGCATAAACCTGTGTGCGACTGAACTGCCTTGTCTAGTCTCAACTGCCTCCTGTGTTGGCAGACTGTCTTCTGGGTGTCAGTTCGTTGGGTACTTCTTATCACTTTTAACTTCCACATTTAGCCCTCTACTCAAGACCTTATCGCCACCGTGCCCTTCATCTCAATCACAGTGCCAGAGCTGGGTACAGTGTGTCTGTGTGTTTAGGTGCACTAAAACAAAGACTGTGGGTACATCCTGTATGAATGTGTCACTGTCTGTGTGTGTTTGTTTAAGTGTATGTAGGTTAAGGGGATGAAGGTGAGTTCAGAAATATCGTAAGCTGGAAGGAATGTACCGTACACACTGAAGAGGACAGGAGCCTGCACTTCAGTGTATACAGGAAACCCACACACACAGAGCAATACCTACTTTTTATTTATTTATTTATTCCCACCCAGTGGAGCATAAGCTCATCAGAACCCTGCACCACCAAGCCCCGATTAAAGGAACATAAACCCCTGAAGAAGGCACTTACAGCTTGTGGATATCCAAACTGAACCTTTATGAAAACAGCCAAAAGATCCAAGAACAATAGTACGGCTGCTGAGAAAAAGAAAAGAAAATACAACAACATTGTGATTCTGTACGTGTCTGGAGTATCAGAGAAACTCAACAAACACCACATCTCTGTGGACCACACAGATACTGATCCACCCCAAAGACCGCACACGCAAACACAAGAACAAGAACCAATCTAGTCAATCAATCAACCAATCATCACGGCTGGATTATTGCAACAGCCTTTTCACCTGTTTAATTTACATCTCTTAACAGGGGAGGAGGTTTGCAACACCATTTACAATGTTGTCCTTTCATCCCAGGAAACTGACTAAACGCTCACATCTGGCCTCATGTGAGAATGCTAACAATGGTCGTTCAGACTTGGCCTCAGGAGTCTCCAACGATCGTAACGACGTAGAAGTACTAATAAAGTAAAAGGTATCAACCCTCTTGACAACAACCCCACACTGAAGAAGCCTCTTGGATGAGGTGAAACCTCTTCTAGTATCTTCAACCAAATCCAGTTGCCCTTGATTTGAACCTTTCTTGGATAAGGAATCTACCGTTTCCATCCACACACACACACATATCCACACACTTTAGTTACAGTCCATTTACCCTTCAGCTTGAAGTTTTAGTGTTTTGTTCCAGCTGGAGAGTTCTTCAACCTGCCCCAAAGCTCCACAATTACACAGACTCTCTCCACTGTTTTTATAATAACAACCCTATATGAAACTCTTCTCCTGCCCCTGAATCACATTATGAAATATTAACGTCATTCACAATAAAAAAACACGACTTTTACCAAGTTGTGTGTATGTAGTTGTATGTTGTGTGTAAATGTAGGCTTTAAGGACACGAGTTCAATTTCAGCTGAAGAGTAAAAAAAAAAAAAAGCCACATTCAGACAAGCTGTTGCACATTTTCACCTTGAAATATTGTGTTTGCTGTATCTTTTAAATAGGTGTTCAAAGCTTATTGTTGATGATGCTTGATGTAAATGAAACAAAACATATCAAAATTAGGTCAAAGCTTCTCCTTGATTTGTAGGCATCGTTCCACTGTGTGGGAAGCTGTGAGAGTGTCTTTGATCTGTTTTCATTGCAGAAGCTTCTTGCTGGCTAACATCATTTTGGATACCTTCATATCTTTAAGAGGTTAGTTAACAGTCAGGAATAGTTTCGTTTGGAGTCAAAGACAGAATGATGTCATGTGTCTGTACAGGTTTATATCTGCCTGCATGCTTGTGTATTTAGGTGGAAGTAACAACGTCATTTGGTCAGAGTGTGTTTGTTTGGACACTGTGATACACGGACTGACTGCTGACACACAGATGAACTGTTCAAGGTAAATAAACAATGATGCAACCAGCTGCAGGGCAAAAGAATACATAAACTCTTTTAGTCAATGATACAAAGATTAATATGAGGATGATGGAATTTGTAGTCTTATTCTGTTCATACCATTTACTGTATCAGTTATTGACATTGTTTTCTTTAGCTAATGTAAAGATGGTTTTGCTTGTAAAATATATAACTAGTTTTTCAAATTTCAACTGAAAGTAAGGTGCAAATTCAGACTCCGGCTCCAATTTAGTGGATTTTTATGTTTTTGAACCCTACTAACTCTGAGTCGTAGCTTTCCAACCTTTTTCAATCCACTCTCAAACTCCCAAACATTATTAAATCACCAAATGCAATTTATAAGTAAAAACAAGCACATAAACTCCCACAAATCCGATAAATATTAAAGCCTGACTGATATAGGATTTTTAAGAAAGATATTGATATTTGCAAATTTAAAAATTGGCCAATATTGTTTACTTTCCCTTCTTTTCGGAAACACAAAACATAAACAAAAATTATAAGCCATAATTAGTCATGTGTAGATAACATGACATAATGCAGTTTAAAAATACACTTTATTGTAATAAATAGTACTTTGTACTAAAGCACAGCTGTTCATTTTGTTTTGTGGTGGATTTGTGGTTCCTAACAGGTGTTGCCAACAGGGGAGCTGCAGGGCGCCCTCTGGTGGACAAACTATGTAACTACAACACTCATAACATGATTGAAGGTTCTGTCTTTCATCTCACCATTTTGTAAATTCTCATTTATCCGCTGTTATAAACATAGATTCTGATTTATCTGCAATTTTCTTTCATCAGCCGATAATTTCGGCATGTCAATTCATCAGTCAAGCTCTGATACTTGTATTAATACCTATGTTTCTATGACTTTATGTATATAATTTTTCTTTTTTGTTATTGCCGACCCCTCGGGGACATTTAAAGTGTCCCCCAACAGAATCCACAACCTGTTTTATTGTCTTCTAAAAGTCTAGTTTACAGCCTAAAATTCTGCTGTTTTGGTTAATTAATAATTCAATATTTAATAATTTAGATATTCTTTAAACATAAACATCTGAGTGCTTTGTCTGTCTGTGTTTTCTGACCTACTGACAATGAGAAGGCAGTGTTTGTAGTTATAAAGATGAAATTCATGTCAGGCCCTGGCCCTCTTCCTCAGATATTAAGGCAACACACTGAGAGGGGCAGAGTGAATTTAAAAGACAAAGGTAAAGGATGAGGATCAGAAAAGAAAGAAAAAGAACATTTCTTTACCTTTACCTTCTCTGTGTGATTCATCACTGAGGTATTTAATCACTGTTAAGATGAATAATCTGCCAATATGAGACTGAAAGGCAGCAGGTAGTCTGGCAGTGTGTTCAGAGAGTCAGATGGCTCTTGAGGTAAACAGGACATCGACCTGATGAAGCCCAACCACAGAAGATCTGACTGTCTCTCAGCCAAATGAGCATATGCTGCTACGCTGCACAAACACTCACAAACCCCATCTCCACAACAACAAGGACTCATTTATCTCCATTTCTCTATCACTGCATCATCTGCAGAATGTAGTTAAACATCTAAATTATAAAAAGAGATAAATGCACAAATAAAATAATTAATAAAAACGAAAAAATAATTTAATGGTTTTGGCAGAAAAACAAGAAAACGCTCAGTTTTCATTTCAAAATGCAGCGGATGAGAATCTGAAGGTGACAGTCAAACAATATGAAACTACAGCAGCTACAGGGATCTTTTCGTCGGATGTCGTGCTGCTGTCAATATTAGAGCCTTTTCTGGTTTATGAGACCTGATGACAGACAAGAACCTGCAGGGAGAAACCAAACTACTACAGCTGCACATGACCCAGAGGCTGAACCACATAAAGAGCCTGCTGATGTGTGTGTAAGACACAAAGTGTTGTGTGTGTTAGATCCCTTTAGACAAAGGGTCCAGACCACAACGCACTCACAGCCCACCAGCATCAACATTTAGTGCGTTTACATCCACTCGGGTATCTAAGTAATGATAAGGTTTGTAGTGAAGTGCTGAGTACTGAAGTACTCTAATACAAACAAAGGGTACTGTGACATACAAATACATTATCATGTGCAGGTGCATCTTTAACTCAAGTTGCAGTAATTAGTTAGTAAAACAATTGGATGGTAAATGATGTTGACCAATGATGACCGACAGTGTGGTGAGTGCAGCAGACTTCAGACAGCCAGAGATGCTTTTTATTATCCATAACAACAATACATTTTCATCACTCTGTACCTTGTGTCTGGTAAATACAGATTCATCAGGTACGACTTTGAGTTTCTTAGGACTGGATATGTACTGAGGCCTTTACCGATATTTATTTGAGAGTGTAAAAACATCTGAGAATGATATATCGGCCGATATCAATTTGCTTTACACAAACTACAAAAGAAAGATTTTTGACAAGGTTCCCTTAAATAATGCTTTTTTAAAAACAATTGTGACCAATGATTGTACGGGGCAGGACATCTTTCAATTAAATATTCCAAAACATATCTTTAGCGTTACTTTTCTTGTGATTTATCGGCTGACATCTATATCTATGCCAAAATATCTGCAATGGGCTAATATCGGTCGGGCTCGAGGTGACACAAGCATAAAAGAGACATTAAAAAAAACAACTAAATAACAGTGCTCAAACCCAGAAGTGGTAGAATGAGCTCTTCTTAACTGCTGATGTCTTAAAGGCCTTTTCTCTTTATTGGTACTCCAGTTTTTCCACCTCAGCTAAGTGTCAAGTGCCGAGACAGTCTTTTGTGATACATCGTCCTCTTTTGATTTCCAGGCTACAAAAATCTGCATAGATCAATAAAAACAGAGACCAATGCTGACAACTAATTAATCAGGTCTTTAAACACATCATCGGTTTAGTGGCCTGAATAACAGCTGAGTCCTGCCAGCGGAGTCCTGGCTGCTCCTCATGCCTGCAGTCATCGCTGTCTCACCCAGAATCACAGTAAACAAGGCTCTCTGGGGAATAACGGCTTTGCTATAAATCTGTCTCCTCTTGAAGCTAAATTGGGAGACACAGTTTTCATAGCTGGTAAAAAAAAAAACAACAACAACTGAAGGCTGCCTCGCTGACCAGGAGCTCTCTCTCCCTCAGATCTTGTTAATGAATTCAGAAACACAAAGCTTTTCCTGGGAGAAATCCGTGTGATCTCGTCCTGATGTGAACCAGGTTTACTGCCAGCCACAGCTCAGCAGAAAAAAAACACACCTCTCTTCAGACGTTTGGACTTAGAAGTGTTACTCAGACTGAAACACTGTATTTCACTACACATTAATCCAAATCTGGAGCTTTTCGTGAGATCAGAAACAATTGTTTTCTACTGGCAGACAGCTCACATAAAACTCTCAGTCCTCCTCTTCCGCCTTCCTCCTACTACCCTCCTCCTCTTCCTCCCACCTCCCTGCCTCATCTTCTTTCACCATCGGGTCAGCCTTGGAAAGAGCTGAGTAATACAATAAAATATGTGGGCTGGTGAATGTCACAACATTTGAAAGAGAGGCGATGTGTGTGTTAATTAAAGCGGCGCAAACGAGGGAGAATCTGTGGCGTATTAACACGGCGGAATAATACGATCACTCGGTCAGGTAAACACAGGGGAGAGGGGAGAGAGGGGAGAGAGGGAGAGGGAGGGAGGGCAGAAGATGGACTGGCAGAAGAAAAGAAAACAATGGGAATGAAAAAGAGAGAGAAGAGAGGAGGAATACCAAAATGACGAGCGGAAAGACAAAAGGCAGCAGAATAAAAATGACATAACAGAATTAAAACTTAGTCAATCAAATCTACAGGAGGAGGGACAACAGGGAAAGATAAACACATTACCTTGGCATCATCTGCTGAGGGTCACTGGGTCATCTGGACACACATGGGCCGAGCATCTGTACGCACACACACACACTCACACCACAGAAACAAACACTCTTGTAACTTTTTAGGTTTTGAAGCTCTATGGCCTCAATAAAACCGTAAAATTAACTCCTTGTTGAAATAAACGGCTCTGCTTCCGTTTATTATCGTCATTATACTGCAGCCAAGGAAAATACCGGTTTTGATTGCCTTGCAGGTGCCTATTAAAGTCAAACTGAAATCACATGTTGTCATTCATTTTTGCAATTAAAATAAAGTCAACATGTTTTTTTTTGAAAGTGTGGTTTTTATCACTTAAAAAAAATAAAAGGGGGGTAATCTTACGGGAAATCAGTCTGAGACTGACAGCAGCTGAGACCTGACAGGGGACTGAGAGAAAAAGTAAACACACTAGCTCAGAAGCCATGTGCAGACAGTGAGTTGTCAGCAGGACCAGCGTCTAAACTGAACAGTGACGTTACGTTTACGTGCTGTTTAATGTGCAGCAGCAAAGCAGCTATCTAGCCTAAAAAAACGGCGTTAGCGGTGCACTTTTCTGGAAGCTAGGAAAAGATGTATGTTCATTTTTGTAGGTTAGATAAGACGGGGACTTTAACGTGAAGGCTAATGTTGATTGTTGTTCAAAGTCTGTGGCACTCGTGTTGCGTAGCACGCTGCTGTCTCTCTCTACGTCACCGTGGCTGCCTGCACATGAGATAACACTGATGTTTAAAATAAAGCAATTTAATTGGCCGTATGGAAACACGTTCTCTATCTAAGTATTGCAAAGACATGGTGAAACAAAAAAATGTATATAAACTAGAAAAGTCTTCCTTTTGGTTTCTGATTTATTTTTTCTCTAAGGAGAACACAGGAGGAGATATGCAACTGTAGCAGACCAAAAAAATGCATTTAATTTCAGTTGGACATAAAAAAAACACGGCTTTGGTCAACAGTTTAGCAAGTGTCCTACATCAGTGTTCAAGATTTAATCAACTACAGGTTATTGCAACAATACTTAAACATGAGTTCAGCTTACTACAAACACACTTCCAAAGATGGAGGAACAATTTAACACAACCTCTGTTTCTTCCGTGGTCGTGCTATAAGTACCATAATATATATAATATATCTGATATAAATAATAATGAACTCTGCTTTACATCATTGGATTCTTCACCTCCACCTCATTCATTATTTACTTGTTTAAGGACACAGTGTCATGTACCATTGCTTACTTACTTATTTAGATACTGGTTCATCTTCATTTTGCTTTTCTATAAAACTCTGAATGGCCTTGCTCCATCATATACTGCACTGCATGTACTCCGACCTCTCAGATCAGCTCCTGTGGCTCTAGTACTCTTGCTACCTTCAGCTTCTATGCTTCTAGTTGTTGGAGTAGCTTCCCTGGAGGACTGTTGCCTTTCAAAACTGAGCACTGCCTCCTTTGTAATCAAATAACTGAAAGCTTGACTTGCCTCAAAATAAATAACTGAAAAAAATCAAGGTCACTTACCCTCACTGGTTTCAGAAGAAGCTCCTCTTCAAACAGCTGATGTCGTCAACGCTGGAGGGCTCGATGATGTAGGCAGTTTGTGTTTGCGCATGTGTGTGTGTGTGTGATTGCGTTCACTGACCAAAGTGCACCCCTCACTTTTTCCTCATACATTTCACCTGCACGCTTCACTTTACGAAACACACATTCACTTATATCAGGAAAACCAGTGAGATAGTGTGTGTGTGTGTGTGTACATACAATACTGATCTGCTCCTGAGTCCTTCTGAGTCTTTGCATCTCTGGAGTGTCGGACACGATGCTGAACCCTCGACCTTTACTCTCTTCAAAATCCTTCTTATACTTCACCTGCAGGAGAGAAAGAGGGAGAGAAAAGATTGATGTTAAAGGAACATTCAGCCTCGAAATCATCAATTAGTGACGAACATAAATATTTCAATACTGATGCAACATTCAATAATAACTCAAATTAAAGACCGAGCTTCTTTGTAGAGCTGCCACGTCGGGTTAAAATTCAACAAGCGTACAGAGAAGACAAACAGTTCCTACACACACAGAAGGAGGGAATAGACCAGGCAGCATTGGAGCTACAACACAAAAAAGGGTTAGAGGCTGCAATCATAACTCTGTTCATGAGCAGATCACTGGAAGCAACAAAACCTCTCATAACAGTAATGATACAGAAGAGGGTCTGAAGGTGGATTTTACCTTTGAATGCGCCCACACAGCAGAAATAATTACACCCCTCAGCTTTCAGACAGAACGCAGCTACGATCAACTTCACACCGCGTGAAAAGAACTTTAAATATACAATAAGTGCTCCTCATACAGGGGGAACAGTGTTATGCAGGAACTGAAAAGGAAAGACCTTTAACATAGTGATTCAGACGCAGTTTTGGCCGATGATTCATTCTAATCAAAGTTAAAGTGCTAGATCGTCAGCTGATTGAGGTGACACATTTTCAGTCCGGTCTTCCTATAGTTTACACCCGTGATGCGGCACCCCCTTTTGCACCGCAACACCTATACAGTACATATGCTGCACCCATACACACGCCTCAGTGTTATTTAGTTCACTTTTTTAAGTAAGTATCTTGCATGGACTCCATCCTTTGTCACATCCCATGAGCCAGTTTGTTAACCTCACAAGTAGGGCTGGAAATTAAACCTCAACGCTTTGAGTACTGACTAAAATGTTTCCACAGAATCAAATGTTGAAAAATGTCATTTATCAAAAGTTTAACCCTGAGAGATGTGATGAGGGCAACAAGCCAAAATGTGTTGGTCTCACAATAAAGTTGCTCTTTACGCCACAAGTGGTGCCGGAGTTTAGTACTTCTTCATGCACCTTCAAATTGGTTGTGCCAGTAGTCTCTGCTATTTAAATAATAGTAATTTAGCCAGTGGAGACTCAAACTAACACTGAATGTATCTGCTAACAAGTCCTGTGTGTCTCGCAGCCTGATGTCTCTTCGTCCTCTGAGTCACGGAGCTCCATCGTTGTCCAGAAATGATTATAAACACATCAGTGAGTGACATGTTCCTTCATTATGATTGACACACTTTTTACTGTAGTTTAACAAATGCACTATTTTCTCCTGTCTGCTTGATGAAAATAGAGGAAATGTAAAAAATATTTATGTCTTCACTAGGAACCAATGGGCTTGGAGCTGAGAGACACAGACAGGAAGTATAGGACGGACTGACAAATGGTTGTTTTTTGATGTTTCATGGGATTTGCTGACAACAAACAAAATACTGAATATTACCAGCCTGATTCCTCAAAGAGAGGTTTTGGGGGTAAAAACCACTATGGTTGTAAAGTTTTGACACCAGAACTGGATCATTGGTTTGCAGATGTTGTCAAGTGTCTCTGTCTGTTTTGGGGATTATTCTATTGTATCTCAAATTACTTTTGGATTTCAGGTTTTGTTTTTTGGATCTTCTGCTCTTCTTGGATTTGTTCGTTTCCCAGACTGCCTGCTTCATCAGTTTTCACTCACTTGAACTGAACCTGCCCAGCTTTAGTGTCTGCATTCTGGTCCACATCCTTGTTTCCTGCGTTCATGCTCGGCAGCTTTAACACCGTAATTATAATGAATCAGTTAAAGTCAGTATATATATATATATATATATAAAATGTTGATCTCTGGACGGTCCAAACAGCTGCCGTCTTCATCGCCTTCAGCAAAGAATCACACTGAATTTAAACCCCCTCCAAAAAAAAAAAGATTGCTGTGTTACTGGCAACAGCAGGCAGAGTGGACAATTTAATACCCACAGATAACAACAACAGCAACTGAGCAGCAGGCAGTCATTTCATACTCCGGCCCTTCCTGCACTTCAGTTCGACCTTCAGAGGAAACACTGCAACTCATTTAACCATCAGTCATCAGAAACAGCCCATTAGCCCTCAGAGTTACGTAAGCCTATAAACTGCAGGAATATGACTCAGACAGTTAGGGTGTGTGTTACGGTATTCTGCTCTCACAGTGATTGTTCCCATTCTCCATAAAAAGCAGATTAAATCCCCATTCATCATCGTAAGCTCCCTGCAGAGCTAATACGACAAGCTAACAAGCTAAACCTCCCACACACACACACACGCGCGCGCGCACGTGCACACACGCACTGACACTGTGTCACACACACTCACACCTATGGAGAGTGAAAGTAACAAACATTCAGGGATGAAAACTGGAATCTCTTTTAGTTTTGGTAGTTCTCCAGTGAGCCAGAGTCACTGCACTGTTGGTGAACTTAGTGCAGGAGGAGGAATCTGATGGAGGACGGATCTCATCAACACGCTTTTTCTCCCAAGTCGTCACGTATGGACGCATGGTCAATAGTGTTACTTTTGTCAGACGAACTTAAACGAAATATATCCGTCAAAGACCTTTTTTCCCCCCCCGACTAAAACGAGACGATGACAATATCCTTAAACGCTGACTGTGACGACACTAAAATGGAATCCATAAAGTAAAATCGTTAATAAAATCTCGCTTTCTTTTTGTCAGTATAATGAGGAGACAAAATATTGCAGGTTGTACTTTCTCCCTCTAAATTTTCACTTGAACAGCGTGTTCATTTAGCGGTATTTATTTCTCCCTGCGCTTTGCACGCTGGCCGACCAGGGCGACATCTGGTGCGGGAGGAAAACGTTATCGAGCGACACCAAGGGGTCTTGACCAACAGTCCATTTGTGAGAAGTTGGGAGTGAGAATGTGCTGATCTAATGGAGGAGGATCTGATAAAACAATGATCTGATGGAGAACGGGGTCTGACAGAAGAGGGTTGGATTGAAGAAGGGTCTGTGATGGAGGTTGAGTCTGTTGGACAAAGAATCTGATGTGGGACGGACTTAAGGGAGGATGGATCTGATAAAGAGTCAGTCAGGTCACATGGTCACCTCCACTCCGCTGTACCGTAACCACTATGTATACTCACTATGTGCACCGTCACTGTCTGTTACAATCAGTTTCCAGGAGCAGGCCGTGAACGCTTCAGTGCTAATTTAAAGTGATTTCAACATCACCTCCAGGGAACAAAAGTAGAAGAAGACGAGGAGGGAGCAGGAAAGTAAAAAGAGGAAGAGGGTATGTTTCACAGAAATCTCTCTCCTGGAGGTAACACGGGAAATGAGGAGACATAACGAGGAGGAGGAGGAAAGTCCCTTTGACACAGAGGACACATACTGCAGGTGAAATTGTCACATCAAAAGTATCTACAGTGATGCAAATTTTTAGACGTCCCCGCTGTCCTCATTTCAATTTTCACGCCACAAAAGGAAAGATAAAATTGTGCCAAATAGATTTTTTATTTTTTATTTTTTTTAAATTGCCTCATCCATTATGTCAGGTGGCTGAACAGCGTGTCAGCGGAGAAAGGAGAGATCGGGCCAGATATTAAAAGGCGCTGAAAGGAGTTTGTGCTCAGATGAATCTAGTCTACAGCCATAACATCCACACAGACGGAGGCTGCGGCACCTCGTCTGCACCTTTGGGGACTTTAAGCATCTGTGTGTTGTCATTTGACTGCTAACTACTTAAGAGAACACTTTCTCTGATAACACCTCAAACCTCCAACATGCACTTCCTGTGCTCTTCTTCTTCTTCTTCTATCCCCTTACAATTATTTTGTATTGATTGCACTATTTCCTTCGCTCTTACTACTTTCCTTAGGTATTTACTCCAATGATGCTCTTACTAGTATTTATTGGCACTTAGAGATGCTGTATTGATGCTTTGGTGATGCTTATACAGTATGTTGTTCCTCAAATGTAAGCTTTGGATAAAAGTCTGCCAAACACCTGAACATTAAGGTGATCCATCATTGTTGTTACGGCACCGTGTAGCTGCTGCCATGTGTGACACTGCTTGTTTTGCCTTTTTTGTGTCTTGTTTAAGTCAGAGAGGTTGTAAATTAATTGCCCTAAAAAGAGACGAGAAGAGAGAAAACCGTATCCCGTGATTTGATGTGTGGACAGGACGAGGAGATACGAGGACTGTAAAACAACTGATCCATCGCGCGGCGGCGTTAAGCCAATCGGATCTGGTCTGATGCATCTGAAACTGGATTCGTGTCCACCACAGCTGGGTTAGAAACTGGTACCAGGAGCCAAATGTGGAAGCCTTTTTAAATGACAGGAGGAGGAGACAAAGACCGACCCATCTTTAAGAAACTGTCTAATCACAGACGCAAGTCGTTTCTTTTCTTGGTTCCCAGTGTAGTTTGTCTGGCTCTACTGTCCTCGTCTTGTTTTACTTCCTGTGTATGTGTTTCACTGATTGTCTAACGGTTTCACCTGTTCGTGATTATGTTCACCCCCACTGGTGTATTTAGTTGTTTAGTCTGACTTGTTGCGAGTTAATTTTTCTTCATTGTTCTTGTTGTTGATGGCTGTGGTTACCAGTTTCTTGTCTTCCTCTTATGTTTCTGAATTGTACTCCTCGTTTTTCCTCTGGTCGCCTGTGGATTTATGGACTACTAATGTGTTTTCATTGCATGTCTCTGAACTATGAACCCCACGTCTCCTGTTAAGTCTCACCTTTTTGTTCCAATAGATGTTTATAATTTAGCTGCTCTGCTCCCGTGTCGGCAATCACGCCCAAAACCCCTGTTTCCCGTTTCTAAACTAGACAGTTCTACTTTAAAATAAAACCCAACGTGATGCTAAAATTTGAAGAACTTTCTCAGGTAGGAGAAGAGCACAACGGTTGAACAAGAGAGAAGCTTGATGGAGATTAAGATGCAGAGGGAGACGAGGACAGAATGAATGAATGTGTAAATCTCTGGTCTGTAAATGGCAAACTGCTAATAAATGGATTTTTATGAGGGCAGAGCAGGACAACAAACACAAACACACATCCCGTGACAAACAGCACGTCCCTTCTGCTGACTGCTGAGTGGACATCTGTCCTTTTGTACTGCAGTGCTGGGCACACACACACACTCTCTCACACAGGATGAGGACATATGGCGCAGAAGTAAAGCAGGTTTATTTTCTCAAACGTGATCTTTGCATCAGTTTTGTGTGTCACTAAATCAGCTCAGTGACTCATCTCGCCTTCAGGATGCAGAACCGTCAGAGCAGCTCCTACTGACACACCTGGCCGTTTGTTTTCATCTCCGTGTGGTGCCAGAGGGACGGAGATATGAGCCAGAGAGCTGCTTTAAACCAGATGTTAGTCAGACAGTTACCGTGAACTGTGTGTCGACAAAACTGAGAGGATCTGAATGTAAAGCGAAAAATGTAGCTTTCCAATTCAATATCCGGATATCCTTTGTCAACAAGTTCTATCTCTCGGTCGTGACACAATAACGTAGCAGTCAGTGGTGGAGTCCTAATTCCTTTCCCCACTTCTGTTGACAAGAATATTAACTAGTTTCTTTACCTGACGGCTGAAGAAGATCGGGATGAACAGGGAGATCTGCTGGATCTCAGAAGCCAGATTTCCATCCAAATATAACAACTTTAACTAGAAATTCTGCATAATGAAATGCTAATGAATTTAAATTTCCATCCATTACACAAATATTAGGAGTTGAATGCAACGGGACAAACAGCTGGTGGAGGTAATTCTCCAGTCGGTGACATTAAACTATCGCGGAAAAAGACGCATTGACGTGACGTCATTAAAAGAGCTGCAGTCGAAGCTCAAATGATGGAAAACAATGTGGGAAAAAAATGACATTTCTGTTAGTTCCATGTGTTAATGTGAGGAAGGTTAGAGCCTCGTCATCGCTCCAAAAACATCTGATGCTTTCGTCTCTTCAGTGGACGTTTATTAAGTCACATGCTTCAAGGGGCGGCTGTGGCTCAGGGGGTCGTGCGGACTTATCAGAAGGTCGTCAAGTTCAGCAGTATAATGAGCATTTACGTCATCATTTACTCACTAAGTCTGTTGCCTCTGTCGCGTTTCCCACCTCGCTTCAAACGTTTTTGGGATACTTCTTTCCAGTTTTTGGCATTTCCACTCGCATACGCATATTCAAAATGCACATGAAGGCATGTGAATGGAATAACATTTGGTGACGCTGCTTGAGGACAGCTACCTGCTCAGGGATGATTCATCACCTGAGGCCTGCAGAGTGTGCATCAGTGCGTTTACCTGGCTCTGCAGCTCGCTCTGCTGTCTCAGTCTCAGGTTCTCTGGTGTGTCGGCCACGATGGTGAACGACGTCTTGGGGTAATGTCTGAAAAAGAGAAAGAGCAGGGTTTCATATAACACAAAAACACAGCGGAAGAGTAGAGAGGGAGACAAAGGAGTTAAAATCCAAAGGACGACACTGAACCATAGAAAGAAAACACAATATTAATAATAACCAATATTGCGACTGCAATTTAAAATGCCATTATTTTTTAGCTCTTTATCTTCTGTATTATTCAAAACAGACAAGCAATAAATCACTGTATAGTATAACCAACTCAGCATTACATAAACATAAAGGGCCAGGCCTATAGTTATGAAGAAATTAGGGAATGCATGAATTGCATAAATAATTATTATGAGCAATGGTGGAGAAGAAGTATCATAATTAGTTAAGTCATGGCATAAAATAATATGATAATATATATGTTATATATATGAATATATATATATAATAATCAGGTCAGCCGACCTACAGACGACAAGAAAAACTAAGTTCACCACCGTTTGTTATACAGTAAGCGCTCATTACAAAACCCAAAGTTCAACCACCAATTAACGAGTCCTCATTTCCTCAAATCTCCACAAGAGTCCATCTCTCAACAAAAAATTCCCTGTTTGACACTAAAGTTTACGCAGTAAATCACAGTGTGATCGCATTAAATCTCGTTTTATCATATCGCGATTTTATCGCAAATGCAATTAATCATTCAGCCCTACTACAATCCTTAAAATAAACTGTTGTGGTAGTTTGTAGCAAAAAACAACCACTTGTATCTCACTAGATTATGAAAAGATGATGGTTATGACAGCGACAGGACATCACAGATTCAAACAAACCAACAGAGAAGAAAAGGGTGCCTTTTTATAACCGTATGTGAGAAGAAGACACTGGAGATGAATCATCATTCATTATACTGTCACATCTATTCCACTCTCAACCGATGATTCATCTGAGAAACATAAAAATGGATATGATGAATTCTGAAACTGTAAACCTCGAGGTCAAGTTTATGAGACAAATTCTTTGTAGATTGCATCAGCACACATCTCCAACCGTCTCTGCAACATTTTCAGGAATCGTCCCTCTTAAATGCCCTTTGAGGTGTATTTGCATGCAAACTATTATTGCTGCTGATAGCTGTTTATTCAGCCCTGGTTCTCCACACCTGCAACTGAGCCTTCTGAAATGATCCAAATACAAGAAAAAGACAAAAGGAAATGTTTCTTCTCAAGTTTAAAACAAATATATGCTTGTCTTCTCACCGTCACAGGAACACTTAGTCACCATTCATTAGATTGTCTCACTCTGTAATAAGTCATTTTGTTTAATTAATGTCCCTTTTAACAATAAAGGCCGCAGCCTGAAAAATCTCAGCGCCCTTCCCATGCGGCAAGTAACCTTAATGATTAAATGATGACATTAGCAGGAACAATGACCCATTGAGAAGTCAAAAAGTCACAAAGCAACACCCTGCCTCCCTTTATCTCACTTGGCCTTTTGGTTTCTAGTTAATGACCTTAAGATATATGTTTAGTCTTCTGTATTTAAAAGCAGCATCAGTGAGTTTGGATTTAAAGCTTTTGTCTGCACAAACACGCAACATAAAGGACAATCAGTATGAGGGTGGTGGGTGGCAGACTACAGAGGGTGGGAAACAATCCCAAATCTCCACCTCGAGGAATTTTTTAAGTTATGTTTATTGTAACTGGTGTTAAGCCCAGGAAGAGACGCCCTCTCTTTTTTTGGTCATTGTTTTCTGAAAATGTAGCAAATAGGGCTAAAACTCAATTACTAAAAAGGATTGATGGAAAGTCTTTGCTTTGTTAAATCCACATAAATATACACCGCACTTTTTGGAGCTGACAATTATTACTGTTGCATAATGCGCTTACCCTGTGAACAAGTGACGACAATGTGATTTGATGCCGCGGATTGCAACTTATAAATAGGATGGATAGATGGATAGATAGATATTTACAATCTAAGATGTATAGCCAACAGAAGTGCAACCGTGCAAATAGCGAGCAACAAAGAAGAGACAGGCCAGAGAAAAAAAAACATTTCAAGCTAAAAGAAAACAACAACAGCTCTGAACGACAATGATTCAGCACCTGAGCAGAAAGCACCCGGTCTACAAATCAAGTCCACAGGTTAGAGGCGAAACAAGCTAACGGCAACGTTAGCATTTAACGTAAATCATGATTGCTAGTTGAGATGAAGGCTAGCAAAGATAAGGCATAATTCTTAAATGTCTAAATGTGCGTTTGTTGTTCTTGTTCTCCTCTGGCTAGTCCCTGACTTTGGCCTAGAGTGAGTACGCCCTTAGACATCTCCTGGAAAACTACACCCATTTCAAAGGGTTAGTGGAGCCACAGCTGTTCAGTACTGTAACCTCTCAAAACGTATTGCCCTCCCCCCACAAAACAAGGACCTTTTCAGCAAATGAAATTATGACTGAGGAACTAAATGCACTCTCTGGTTCACCAGGAACCCTAAGATTTATATATGTGAAGTTTCTTTTTGCTGTGGAAACCTGAAGGACGTAGTTAGGTAGGTAGTAGCAGAAAGAACCCCGTCTTACTGTCAGCTGTATTGTCATAGACGGTCCTTCAATTGCTGGGTTAACTGTTCCCATTCACTAAGGTTTGGTTCCCAGAGGTGTCTGGCCAAGCGTGCTGCAAGATTCATGACAATCTTTTTACATTTCACCACATACAAAAAGCTAAAACAATCTTAACAATACCAAACATTTGCTTGTTCCAGCTCCTCAGCTGGGAGGATGTCTTGCTTTTTTACCGTTTTATATTGTTTTCACTGTTTGTTAGTCACCTTATGTCAACTCTTTTATAAAAACAGTGACTGTGGGCTGACTCATAACTGCTGCTAATGGCTTCCTAATGGCTCAGTTGTGGAGCTGCCTTTGTGACAGTGATCTACGGTGGGTCGACGAAACAGAAACAACACAATGTGAACAAGGATATTTAACACAGATAATGGTGAATCACACAAAAAGGCAGCTGGATTAGCATGAGTCATGATAAGATCTTAAAAAGACAACTTACAGATCAAGATGACGTGTGTCAAACAGAAAGACTGTGATCACAAAGACGCAATTATATTCTTAATCAATTGATCAAATGTTTGGTCAACGAAATATCCCCAAAAAATGAAATAATGGACCAACAGTCCAAAATGCAAACACATTAACTTACAGGAATATAAAACAGAGCAAACAGCAAGTTCTTACACTGAATCACCAGGAACCAGATCATTTTTAACTATTCAATCAATCAAGAAATGAATGCATGACATTTTGTAATATATATAAATAAAGTAAGGCATAATATCTACTGGATATATTCTATTAAGAGTATTTTATATGCTCTTAAAGATTACGTAGTCTGTATTCTGTAGTCTTCATATTTGTGTGTTTTCTTAATCTATTATTTTATCAGTTATTTCTGGATAGCTACAGTTTGGGAAAGTCAAATAACAAAAATCAATCATACAAACACTTACAAGATGAGTAATTTACTGTAATTCAGTTTTCTTTTGCAGCTGAAGCTTGTTTAGGAATCCGGCTATATTTCATGGAGAATTCTTAAAAATCGACTTCACATCTCATCTTGACATCTTGGTCGTCATTAACTGCTATTTTAATTCACAAATACATGTTGATTACAGTATGTAATAGGCCTACATGTGAAATGGATGGTGTGTAAAAAACAGTGTGCAGACTCGAAATAAGAATAAAATATTCGGGTCGTACAGGCGTAATAAACAATGGGTAAAAATGGTGACGAAGAAGAGACACGGGAGGAAACCAGTTAACTCTGGTTAAATGGTGGCTGGTAACGTCTCTGAGCAGCTGGAGGAGCTCTTGACAACACCGGAGAGAGACACAGCGTCTTGCCTTCCTCGGAGCTGGCTGATTCATGTGTGTGTGTGCGTGAATCATCGATGCAGCAGCATATTCAGCAGCACAGTTTGACCACTCCACTGAACTGTCCTTCACTCCTCTCTTCCTCCCACTTCACCTCCTTCTTCCTCCCTCTCATTTTAACATTTCTCTCTCCCACACACACCCTCTCCCCTCTCTTGTCAGCATTTAGAGGGATGATTTGTTCCGCAGGGTGGACGTTCTCTAGAAACGAAGCAGGTAAACTGCTTCTGTACAACCAAATTATCTAATCACAAAATATTTACACCCTCAGCTACTCTGAGTAACATCTTCTATCTGAGTCTTTCAGTTATCCTAAATCCTTTGAATGAAATCTTTATGGTGTAAAACACACATTTCAAAACATTATTGTGTCTTTGGTTAAGGTTAAAAGACCCCAGTGATTGAAGCTGAACATAATTGTACTGACTGAAAAATATGCTTATTAGA